CACCCCCCCCCCCCACAAAACGCGCGTTCTCTTCATCGCAACTCCAACAGCAACATCACAAAAGTTCGGTTTGCTTTGTGACGGGTGGAACATCTACTTACACGTCAAAGACAAGGAACAAAAGCGTTCTCCTCTTTACAGATCCAACGCAACAGCGACATCCGCGTCTAACCTTCGACGGCAGCTCCTCTACATTCTCGACTCGACTTGCGCGCAAAAATCGGCCGGAAATCCTGCCACACGCGTGGAAATCCGAAAAGCACAGCACCCCATAGCACCCACCCCCCACTTACGTCACTGTCGAACTCGTGTCCCCCAAGGATCGCGCATGACTTGCACGCGTTGGTGATGAGGCTCGCCGTCTTGTAATAGCTCTTCCGAAGGTAGAGGGAGATGTCCAGCAGCTTGTCGGGGTCCATCTTCAGCTGCATGATCTCTCCCTGCACCAGGCTGTCCAGCGCCGTGGCCATGATCTCGACCACCTGGACGTCCCCAAGTCTCGCCAGCAACACCGACGCCCGAGCCAGGAGGTAGTCCCCGGCCAACACCGCCACCTGAGGGGTTTCCAAAGGGAAAATGATTATTTGGTTGCTTGCCTTTTCACGACAGTGACATCTCCGAGACAGGGAGGTGCCGCTATTTGTCAGAGGGGGGACATGACAGTGGATGGATGCTAGTAACCCCAGGAGTTTCGCTCACCTCCGGAAGCGTTGGTTTAATCAGGTGCAACACCGCACAACACAGCGATGCCGCGGACGAGCGGCGTTTAGCCACCACCCCCAGCAAAGAAAAAATCGAACATGTAGTTCGGTTCTCTTCAAGCCCACGCTTACATGTATTGGTTTACTTCGTTCAAATTTCGTCCAATGGTTAGAACGTTGCCTTTTCACGACGAAAATACGGGTTCAATTCCCGTGAAGGATTTAATTGTAGGAAAGAAAAAAAAAAAAATCCTCAACACCAACAGCGCATTGCGCGCGAGAATAGATGGCGTCCCGCACTTGAGAACTGCTGTATCGAACTTAGATATGAGTAGAATACCATTTGTGAGCCCGGTCAAGAGCACTTCAGAATTTGGCTTGAACATTACATCAAACGCGAGACGTGAGCACCGATATCTCTGTGAGCCCGGTGTCTTACACGAAAACCTATATATAGCGGCAATTTGTAGCCCACAAGAGGAACTTCTGAAAGCTCCCCAGCCCCGGACATACCCAAGTGCGGGCGATGTCTGTATAAAAAGGAGTGTTAGAACACCAGTTGGTTGTCACGTACTCTTGGATCGAAACAAGTACGGACAAGAAAAGGAGGGCAAATAAAATACCGTGAAACGGTCGATTATTCTTCGCGTCGAAAAAGGCTACAACGTCCCCGGCCCCCACCTTGTTGCTGTACAGCTTGTGGACAGCCATCCCGCCCCTCCTGACCTCCGCCTCGTCGAGAACGTCGTCGTGGATCAAAGACGCAACGTGGATCATCTCCGTGATCTGTCCCAACTGTTCTCTCGAACGACGCGCACACACAGGAAGGGGGGGACGTGTGTCGATGAAAGTTGGCATGTCGTAGGACAAGGGCGTGTGTGGATCGTACAATGTACACGCATAAATATACATGTGCCTCAAAGCAATAACGTGCTCGTTGTACATGTATCTTACCTGTATGTTTATCGACAAAGCTGCTTCTACTATGTACAGTATCGACAGCTCTGTCTTTCATTCACGAGGTTGTTTTCTCACAAGCTCTGCCTCTCTCTCATCCACAGCTTTTGTGTTTCCGACGAGAGCCCTGCTTCGGTCACTCACAGCCCTACCATCGCGGGCGTGAGCGCAACCTGCCACCGTGTACACACGACATGAAGCCGCGTTCCCGTATCTTACCTGCCCCTGCCGTGTGTACTCTTCGCTGTCTCTGTGCGCCTCCATTGGCTTGTCGCACGTCGCCAGCGCTGCTCGGTAGTGCGAAAAAAGTGGACATAAAAACGAATGAATCGACCATATGATGAATATATGTAGCCCGCTTTCCAGGCCCGGCTGCATTCCTCCTTGAAACTACACCGCGTCGAACAACATGAACATGGCTGCTAATCTGGATACTTAACGTGTTGAAAAAAAAATACGGGGAGGGGGGGCGGCGGGTCGCCAAAAAAAAAACACTCACCCATGAGCGCGACGATGGTCGGGCGGAAGCGTTTCCCGTGGCGCTTCTCGAAGAAGTGCTTCGCGGCCATGGACAGCACCGGGTGCTCCGACTCGACCAGCTCCTTGATGGTATCGGTGAACGGCGACAGGTCTTCGCTCGCCAGCTTGAACGGGTCGATATCTGTTCGCCGGGATTTTTTTTTTTTTTTTGCGTCCACGCCAAACGTCGGTCGTTGGATACGCGAAAGAAGGCAAAGCTAAAACCGCGCACGCCGGCTTGAACACACCTTGTAGGTTGAGAGAGAGTTTCTTTTTTTCTTTTTTTTTCGTCAGGAGAGCGGAGAGTTGCTGAGAAAAAAAGACTTCTAAAACACCGCTCACGACAGAGTAACAACGGCAAGCTGGCCTCGATTTCGGTGCCAAGTACCGTCCTATATACGTCGGAACTGCACCATCGCAGACGCGAGGTTGACCACTACCGGAAGATATCTGGAAGATCGCATGGATAACAAAACACTCGGGGGACGAGAGAGACCAAGCGGATGGTAGTGTAGTATCGTGTATCGTACAGGTGGAACTGCTGCAAAGAGCGGCTCCAACACGGCGAAAGGGGGGGGNGGGGGGGGGGGGGGGGGACGTTGATCAAACATTCCACCGGCATGTCTAACGGACATCGGATAAACACTACGAAGTAGTGCGGGGTGAACAACGTTCAAGTAGGTCCCAGATACACGTTACAATGGGTACCGGGTAGACGTAAAAACCAAGAACCAGGTACTACAACGATTTTAATTCGCAAAGTCGGAGACTCAAAAATACGACACGAACGAACACTGGCATTCGTAGTTGTGGGGTGTAATGTATCTCCGAAAACAGGGACGGCACTACATGAGTGTGTCTACATAACGCCGCAGCTGCTGCTGTGAAAGTAATTGGATCTACGCATGACGTAAGCACGTATCCGGCCCGAATACTGCGTTGTACCAGCCCAGGTTAAAAAAAAGGAGAACGGCGATCCTGGGTATCTACCAAGAAGGTGCGTCGCATAGCAGAGGTACGCCTACCGTGGTTCGCAATACAGAACTGAGGACTCACGCCGGCAGAAAAGAAGCAGCGGTGTGTTTTCTTCCGATGTGTCACAGCAACAGCCCTTTTTTACCGTGAATAGTAGCGGCGGAATTCCACAACTGGTGACTCGATACCTAACGACAAAGAACATCACAAAGAAACGCATAACCCCAAAATACAACGAAGAACTCCGGAGGAAATCAATATTATACGAGTACATAATATTGGCGCCGACCACTGTGTCCAGCGCGGTTGGTGTCTCCTCTCCTTCTCACCGTAGGGGGCGTCACCGTCGACGTCGAGGTCGATGTCGTCGCTCTTCCGCACCGTCGCGTCCGTGGACGGCGGCGGCGGTACGGTGTCGAACAATCGGTAGGCCGGCTTCAAGTCCAAGTTCCCCAGGGTGGCCGCGCGGTGACGCCTGCCGCCGCTGCCCCCGCCCCCGCCCCCGCCATGCCGTCGAACCCCGCCCTTAACAGCAGCATCTCGTCGACTTTCCCCCTCCCCGTCGCCGTCCGGTGATGGACACACCGACGCGCGCGCGTTTCCCGAGCCTCCCCCGACTAAGCTTAGCGGGGAAGATAATGCGGAGTTTCCCCACGGCGACGACGTGTGTGGGTTGTTTCGCGAGGAGACGATGCTCGTGGAGGGGGCCGACAGGAAAGCCCCGACGCCCGCGAGACCGCAGCACGCCGCGCACGCCGTCGTGCGCATCGCTGTTGCTGTTTTCATCTTTGGTCCGTATGCTACCGGGCTTGCCCGCCTTGTGTTGTGTTTTTGAATCCGCGACTAAACTGCTGGCTCCTGTCTGGGAACTACACGGAGTGTGACGATGACGCTGCTTTTGCTGCCCCCTCAAGGTTCCGTGTTGATGGTTGCGATGGTTTCCCGCGCGGAGTTGTGGGCGCCTGCAGGCGCATGTGGGTCGGCGGCGCGGTGAGCATCGTGCGAGTGCAGGCTCTTTGCTTATCAGGGGATACATCTCTGACTTAGCCAGATGGCAGCAGGGTTAAAGGGCAGCTGGTTTCAGGGAAACACGGTGGTGACGAAGGTCAGCCACCTCGCAGTGGAGAGAATAGGATTGCAGAGGCCGGGGTATGACGCTGCTACCCCTGAACTCCACGCGACAAGTTTTTTACAATCCTGCTGCCGTGCTTTTGCAGGGGCAACACCGGAGGGCGATGAGTGCACCCGCAGAGACGATGAATCTCGGGCTTTCGTCGGTGCGTGGTAGTCGTTCTCGAGGAAGCGAGCAAATGGTTTGAACTGCTGCTGCTACCTGCTGCTGCGCGGAACGTGCACACCACGCGGTGTTGCGTGCTGACTGACGAGAGAGCCACGCACGCCGTAAGAATAGCATATACTGGGTGCTACCTCGCCCAGAGCAACCCTCTAGAACAAACGACGTCTGGGTGACCATGGACTATAGTTGCCATCCATGCGAGGTAAGGACGCCTCCCAAACGTGAAGTCGCGTAGTCACGACAGCAGAAAATCGAGAGATTCGTCCCTGTTTTGTATACCAGCGGCACGAGCCAGGCAAATCGGCGTGTTTTGGGGAGATGCGAGAAGGAAAATCCTGCCAAATCACCCCACACAGATCCGCAAGCGCCCATGAACTCACCTGCGGTCCTGAATCTGGTGTGACAGCTCGGGGTGGTGTACTCTCGAGTGCAGGCGGTGTCTAGTCCTCGGAGGGTACGGTGTTCTGTGAGGATCAGGCAGCTGACAGACCCGGAGCCTGACCCAGCGGGAGGTCTGCGTTGGTGAAATCTGCTCTAAATGTCAGATAAATCCGGCCCCGTTGTTCCGATATTTTCCAATGGAACTCCCATCTTCATACGCCGATTTTCGGGCGCGCGTGCCCCCTGCATTCAACCCTGCAGCCAGCAACCAGCGGCAAGCGGAAAGCACACACACAGCCAGCAGGCCCTCAGCTTTGTGTCGAGAGAGTCTACAAACGTATACGTTGTACGCTGGAGAAGGTTTCTCGGAGAAGTGAAGTGCCTACCTCTACTGCATTACAACCAAGGGCTTTATTCTCTGTGTGCTACAGGGGCACACAGAGGGAAAGCCGTCTCGTGCAGTTCTTTCAGGCGCAGCACAGCTACAGCAGTGTACAGCAGTAGCTGCATGCCATCAACGGGCTTGGGACAGCAGCAGCACCACCACCACTTCTGCGGCAACAACGTGAACGCAGTCGCCCTCGTCTCTTCCGGCTCCATGATGGCGAGTCTGATGCGGCGGTCTCCCATCCGCTGCCAAGCCCTGGCAGACACGGTGATGGCGCAGAGAGGCTTGTCGATGACGTCGAGGGAGCTCGCGGCGTCGCGGCAGTGCGGAGACATACCGACGGAGACGCTGTCGCTGGACGATGACTTCGTCGTAATCAACAAGGTTAGCACCACGACGCAAACCATCCTTACCGTATCGCGAGTGTTCGTTTCATGCCGTACTTTTAGTGTGCATTTCATATTCCATCTCTGAGCAACACTCGAGGCGGTGTACGAGGTCTCGTTGTTGGCATCCGTTGGGCGGGCGATCCTCACATCCTTCCGCCGTCTATGGTCGACACGACCTTCTCACGACGCTGCTGTGGCGCTGTCTTTCGTGCGTCCAGATGCGCTTGCATCTCTCTCTTTACGTGGGGTCCACGCGAACGACTCGTCTCGAGGACGTGTACATGCCATTTGTCGTTGTTACAGTACAGCAACGCTATTATTGCGCCGCGTATGGTTAGGTCATGTCAATCGACCCTCTTGACACTTCCTCGACTTCACTTACTCGAGATTTATGTGCATGCCAACACCCACGACATGTCGATACCGTAGGTTTCATGACGTAAGATATCGCACCCGCTGGACCGGTTTTCAAAGCTCGGTTCCTCGACAGCAGAGGGATGACGGTGCCGAAAATGGCGGCTTGGAATTGTCTCGTTCAAGATCTTCCCGAAGATGCACGACTCGATTTCGGCATCCTCTTCGTCGTGGATTAATCGACCTTTCAAAGTCGGTCCAGGGGGAGTGGTATCTTCCGCAACCTACGGTATGCTCTCTTCGTAGTAGGGCGACCCTAACGTACCGCGGTTCTCGTCGGGTCACCCTACTAGGCACGTCAGAAACACTGCATATGGAGAAAGCTTGGCTTCCACAGCGTACTCCTCTCTTGTGTGTGCATGGTCTGTGGCGGATGACTGTTGGAAGCAGACATGCCCACACCAAGGAACGTGTTGTTTGCCACCACCACCAACGCTCTCTTTCTCGTCTCTCTTGCTTAGTTTTGTTCACGGAGTGTTGAAAATTCGCCTGCTTTTTGTCCTCGCCTCGAAAACTCGCGACTGGTGTGCACCACAACAGCAGTCGTAGATAGTCTGCCAGTGGCAGAAAACCCGTTTTGTGTGGATGGGGTTGACGACCTTGGTCCGCGGAACGACCCGCGTCATCAGCGTGATAGGGACCACGGAAAACGTGCCATTAGATATAGCGTTTCCATCAAATCACCAGTTTGTTGACCAGCCTTCAGTGCATGGTGGCTCAGCAAGCCTGCAAAAAAGGCAAAGATGGGTACTTCAAACTGCACCCGCCGTAATGTATGTATATCTCCGCAGAACGGTCCACCTCCCTTCCCTTCCGCCGTGCGCCTTCCTGCATCGCGCGGGGCAGCCGGCAGATGTGCGTATGGATGGGAACTTCGACGTAGCCGTGGACAAGCTCATCAGATACTGGTGCCCTACCCTGGAAGACAAGGAGCTCAAATGGGTGCACCAGTTGGACTTCGGTGAGTGGTTCCCCGCCCCCCGTCGTTCATGATCATCCGCCGTACTATGCGGTCGTCTTTCCCTTGCAATAGGTTGATGGTGGTCACACCTGTCTCCGGCGGCCTGCACACTCGGCCGGGTGTTCGGTGAGGAGGGTGTTGAGGTGCTCCCAGGCGCTACGTGGTATGTTGTCGATGTGTGGTGGTCGAAGCCTGCATCGGAAGGCAGTACTTCATTTGTTGTTGTTGTTGTTGTTGTTGGGTGGCGGTTGTGTTGCTGTTGGTGGTGTTTTCACAGGAACGAACGAACCGATTTGACCTACCAGTATCTCCTAGTGCACTCCCTCCGTGGCCTTCAAGGCAAAGGCTGATGTCTGTTGTCACAAGCTTCCCCACAACGACGTGCGTGTTAAGCTGACAGCAACAAACGAAAACGTGGAGCTTTTCGGCAGACATACGCAATGTCCTACAGTACTTTGTTGCATTTTTTGCGTCGGACCAGCCTACTTGACGTGGTATGTGTGCACGCACACGCAGCTGACGGTCATGGCCAGTTGGCGGAGCAGTTGATGTGACACTCGAGGTGCCCCCTTCACATGCATTCGTACGTACGTGGGCACGCCGTCGATGTAATTGTTTTGTTGGGCGTCTATGTACCTCCGTGTTGTCTAGCGTGGGGCGTCTGATGATGTGTGTTGTCGTTCTCTTATGTTTTTGTGCATCCTGTATCTAACCCTAACCCTAACACCGAGGTGCTTATTTTCATTTGCGCCTTAAATCTTGTTGTTCTTAACATGGGGGCGTGTGATGCTTGTTCTCGCACCCGGAACACGCTGCTGCTTGTCAAACAAGTACCCACGCAGCCTCAGCTGTACCAAGCACCCTCCGCCCATCCACCTGCTCCTGCCTGCCATTTCGTGCACCCTCACCCTTCGCCCCCTCCCCCCCCTACGCTGCCCCCCCCCCGCCCTTGCGCGCGCCCGGTCTGCGTGCACAGCGACATCAGGGGTGTTGTGCGTCGCGCTCCACCGAGAAGCGGCGGCACGTGGCTGCGAGGCGTTCCGAGAGCGCCGAGCGAAAAAGTCGTACCTGGCGGTGGTCCAGGGAGCCGTCGACCCGGAATCCGTCCCCCGGCGGGAGGAGGAGCCGGACGGGTGGAGGGAGGGGAGGGATGGCAACGGCGGCGGCGGCGGGGGCGGGGGCGGGCGGAAGCGAAGGCCGGACTCGGTGCAGCACACTCCGGCCCATGGATTCTTCCAGCGGAAAAAGGTGAGAGCTGTAGGCTACACGTGCGTCGTACGGCATGTACCCAGTAGTCCACGCAGGTTTTTTCAAGCAGACAAACAGATATAAAAGAGTATGTATATAATCGGCTAAGTTAGGGCTAGGGTTAGGGTGTGCGTACCCCCTGCCAGGTCTTTTTGTCTTTTGTCGTAATCAGCGTACTCTCTTTGCGTAGGCAGTAGCAGACACCATGGCAGTTGTTGTGGGGTAGCAACAAAGGAGCGAAAGGGCTAGGGTACGTTCCTGGCACCGGGGCTAATTAGGAAGGCGGAGAAGCAAGGAGCGAAAGAGGTGTCTGAGGGAACATCGCCCGCCGCCCATATGGAGGGGGTTCGTGGGAGGGATGGCGTTTGTGCCCCCGCGTCATGGCGCCCGTAAAGTGGAAGATGGGCTCTTGGTTTTTTTGTTGTTGTTGCGCCGAACGGTGTAGCATATCTGTTTGCAGTTGTTTCAACACAAGTGGCGTAATGATGGAGCGGGTTCGACGTCGAGCACAGCAGTAACTCTCTGTGTTTTTCGTTGAACATTTCTGTGCTGTCCGGATGCACGGTTTTGGCAATCTTCCCCTCTGTATGTTAGAGCTACGCTAACGCTCTGCCGCCCGCCCGGAGCCACAGATGATAGTTTTCCTTGTGTTCTGAGCTGTTTCGCGCTGGATGTCGCCTGGGTCGCGTTTGTCAAGCGTGCGCCATGGCTTTTTTCCGCCTATTGTACCGTTCCACCCCGACCTTGTGCTGGTGTGATGCAAGGCGCATACGAGGTATAGCGTGATCGTCGATGAATAAACCAGGGTGTGATCGCCCACGTTTTGAGCGCCTGCCGTTGCGCGCAACATGCCCCTTGTGCACAACATCCAAACTCATCTACAACATCCAATCGCTTGTCCTTGTCGCAACTACATTAGGACCTTCTCCTGAGGGCCATCGAGCTCGGCGAAACCTTGTCCCCGGAAGACCTGGCCTTCTCGAAGCTAAGCTGGGGGGACATCAAGTTCGACAAGGCTGCCTCGCGGCCGTTCCACTCAGCCGCAAAGGCTGACAAGATTCGTGCCGTTGCGGAAGCGGAGGCGGCGAGATTCCAGGCGGCCCAGGGCGCACCGGACCGAGGAGTGTTCCGCGCGCCCGGTGATGGCGATGGGGAGCTTCGGGTTGATGCGTCCGTTTCCGAGGTGCCGGGGGACTTCCGCATGCGGTTGGACGAAGAGGCCGGGGGGAAGGGTAAGCCGTCGAGGACTTTCGTGAAGGTACTGGAGCACGGGTCGTACCGGGGACGATTGGTGACGAAGGTCTTGATGAGGTGAGGAGCGCTTGTTTTGGCCAGCTTTGACGGGTGTGGGAGAAGCAGTAGTATGTCGTCTGCTTTTGCCGGTTTCTTTTTTCCCTGATTGTTGTCATGTGTTTCTGATGGTTATTGGTTGGGACAAGTCGAGAAACAAATATTTTTGTTGTAGACGTGATCGCCCACATGACCACCCGGTGGCGGCACCACCCGTCGGTAGTACGGCAATGTGGAACAGAGGTGGCTTCATTCTAAGAGGGTACCTTACACGAAGGGTTCCGATATGAGAGGGTCGAAATTGGTTGCCACGGACTCGACCCGCGATAGTGTAGTTGGGTACCCTCTTATTCCGGTACAAGTTGGGGGCCCGATATGAGAGGGTCTGTGCATAGGGCCCTTGTCACATCGGAGCCACGACTGTATGTTCTGCTGACTCTTTGAAGTATTTTTCCCGCGATGCCGTGCTGTTACCTTTGTCCCCTGGGTCGCCTCCTCATTCCGCAACCAGGCCGCACACCGGGCGGCGACACCAGCTTCGGCTTCACGCCTTGCACATGGGGCACCCTATTCTTGGCGACACCACCTACGGGGACGCCGACCACACCATCCCCAGGATGTGCCTGCACGCGCAGTCTTTGACGCTGCGGCTCGCTCCCCCTTCCGACGCCGCTTGTTCTGACACCGAGGCGCCGGCGAAACAAGAGAGTGGAGGAGGTGTTGCTGAGTCCGCGGCGGCGGCGGCGGCGGCTGCGGCGGTGTCGACGGAAGGAGCGAGTTCCCAGGGAGGGATGGGTGGGGGTCGCGGCAAGCGGTACTGGGGCCGGCAGAAGGTGCAGCCGGCGAGAGTGACGGGCGGAAAGCAGGAGGTGATCTTGGACGTTGTTGCGCCCGACCCGTTCGTGTTCGTCGACGGAGAGCTGCAGTTGTAGCACGCACAGCCGTTCTAGTTGGGGATCGTCTGGGTGGTAATAAGAGACACTTGGAGAGGCAAGGACGAGGGGAAGATTTTTTTTTGTTAAATAAACGTGTTTCAGCCGTTTAATTTGGGAATTTTTTATTGTTGTGGTTATGGGGAGATTTGCCCATGCTCTCGCTCGGAGTATGTGGACAGCCGCACACCAAGAGATCGCGGATCGTTGGGCCGTAGCGCGCAGCAACGCTTTTCAGGACACCCTGGTTTGATAACAAACGGCTGCTCGTTAATTGTTGCGTCGGTGGTGCAACAGGGATCGATGACACATACATAGCAGACACAACATCGTTCGGGGTGGAAGTACGCACATGCAGTCGGTAAATCTTTGTGATCCCTCTTGACACATCGAAAACTGCCTTGTAAGTGCGCGGGCTGCTCGTTCAAGAGGCGTGCCACCAGCCTGGGCTGATTGGAAGACGAAAAAGGGTGAAGCGTACATATATTTCTGCATATGTCAAGGACGATTTCGTGTGCGCCTTTCGCCGGACATGTGGTCTGTCCGTATTTTGTGATTGAGGAGCGAAACGGACAAACGAAAACGGAAAGGGCGAGCCCAAAACAAACGAGGACTTGCCAATTGCCACGCGCCGTTTCGGGCCGTCAAGCCATCTCCTCTCTTGCGAGACTACTTGTACGTCGCGGATCACATTTTTTTGTCATTTTTTACCCAAGATTTTCATCTGCTGGATCAAGTGGACCAAGTCATCGGCCAAGCCCTGAATGCCCCAGCTAACACTAGCATTGACAGAAAACGAACCAACCCTCATCGCAACCGATGGCACACGGGACTATATAGACTACAAACTTAAATACTTTGTACACCCGGCACAACACACGCCTTACAACCACGCACGTCTATCAACACACGCCCTTGTGATATTGTCTCCCCAAAACCTAAAAAAAAAATAATACATCCCAAACCCTAAACAAAAACAATTAATTAATAAAACACACCCATATATAATACGCATTCAATTGACCGGTCATAACTTTTCATACACCCCCCCGTATTCCGAACAGGTCGTTGACAAGGCCCTCATACGGCAATTGGGCGAGGCCCATATCAGCATTTGGGGGGTTGAGTTTAACTTTTGGTGGAGTGCTATTTATGCATATAACTATGTAGGTGGGAGTTTTTTTTTTTTAGGTCACAGCCGTCCCAGTGGCCACACTCCTCTATACTACATTTCAAACGAAAACAACATACAACAGGGTTTCCAGGTTACAGAAACAGCAGTAGTGATCGCACGTGCGGCCCGAGTCCAGTCCAAGGCGCCGCGCGGCCTCTGGAAACGCTCTCATGAACCGCTTATACCCGAAAGGAAAGACGACCATGGCCGTCACACCTACATCCAACAACGTCAATATTGTCGCGTTCCACGATTGCCCTCCGAGGAACAAAAACACAATCTCAGCGAGATCGACACCAAGTGGCAATGCAATCAACGCGTAAGTCAAGCCGACAGCCGGGTTGTCAGGGTCGAGCGCAGAGTCTAACCTAGAGACGACGACCAGGTTCCAGAAGTAGCCCGCACAGAAGACGTTGTTCGTGACAAGGCAGAAACCGCAGGAGAGCACCAAGAGAGCGTAGAAGAGAATGACGAAGCCCCTCGCGTCCACCTTCTGTAGCAGCACGAGGCCTGTTACGGCCACGACCGCCGCCTGGCACATCGCGCCGAAATGCCCAGTCTTGGTTAAAGACCTGTCTGTCTGCCGAACGCCGTTCACTAGAATCGCAAACGGCGAGCCAAACCCTTCCATGACCTCATCCTGCTCCCCAACTCTTGCTCTGCAGAGCGAGAGCAGAAGCATCACGGCGAGGCCGACGGACTCCTGGACAGCCGACGCAGCGAAGACGAAGCTCGCAGCATCCTCGATCTTGAACGCGTCCTCAGCAATGGCATTGTTGAGGCTGAACACGGCCTCCAGCACACCGATGCCCAGAGCGAAGAGCTGGTGCCAGCGACGCGAAGTCAGACCACAGCTCTTTTCAACATCATCATCGGTTGGTCCTCCAGCTTCCGGCGCGGCAACAGCAGGGGTAGTTATTGGCCGTCGTGTACCAGACTCCACATCGGCGGCGTGTACTTCAACAACAACAGCTGAGGCGCCAGCAGGAATTGAGGTTGCCGAAATCCAGCCTCCGCCTTCAGCTGGGACCGGTTCGTTCGCCACTATCACTGCTGTTGGAAGCTCGTCAGAGAACACTGCAGAAACTGCTGCCACTGGTGCTACGCTCATCCGGACGGCGTCCGAGGGTTGCAGCTTCGCTGGGTGCCAGCTGGTGCAAACCCGGATGCAGCCGGATAGCCCAGTGCCGAAAAGAAAGATGGGATGCGGAGCGTTTGGATGACGAAAGGTGACGGTTCGGGAAAGTAGTTCGCCCTCCGTTGTTACAGTTAGTTGCCGTATATCGTGCACTAGACTAGACTACATCGATCAACAGCAATCCAGCAGTTGTCAAGCGAAACTGCGACGTGTTCCTGTACCTGTAAAGACAGAATATTACAACACACGACCTAACGGAGGGTTTCTCCCTGATAATTTTGTCGTTGATCCCGTAGATAGAGAAAAATACTGGGGAGATGTCTTGTGGTATTTTGTCCCATCTATATTATTATGTTTTCATCCACAGGAAACAAGTTCCCTTCCTTCACACTTGAACGTAAACACGAACGGCAGGGCCGCGATTGTCTACTGCAACGGACATCATCAGGCAAGAAGGTAGATACAGACTCTTCAGAGCAAAAGTGACCCGTTTCCGCGGGTCGACATCGCCACCGCGGCTACAGACAGACAGCGGAGCCGAGGGGACACAGCGCTGCTACTATCACACGCATGACGTTTACGTGACGATGGCAGAGGCTCTACCTCCTCGGCATCAAGCGGGGAGGGGACACGTAATTCAGACAGAGCAGTGAGACCCAACAGCTTTCTCTCGGTACCATGAGGACGAGCACGCGCGCTAGGCACTACGCAACATGATGGGGTTGATCCAAGAAGAAGAGGCATTCGAGGAAGACTGCACTGCTGCTGCTGCTGCTGCTGCTGCTGCTGCACTCGAAGAGGAGGAGGAGGAACCCAAGGCAAAGCAGCAACGGCGGTCCTATTCCCGGCCGGAGTACATGAAGTCGCCCTAAGGACAGCAGTGACTAGGGAAACTCGCAGAGCTGCATGCTTCGGAGGGTGGGCTTCACGAGGACAGCCGAGAGGCACGGCAGTTCGTCGGTGCTTTCGGAGTCCCCTACGAAATGTTCCTCGCCATCGTCAAGGCTGTGGCGCCCGCATTTCCAGCAGCTACACATGACGTAGCTGGCCGGGAGTGCGTCCCCGTGGAATTGAAGGTGCGTTGTGACCCAGTGTCTGGATTTTTACTTGACGGTAGGACAGCATGCAAATAATAACTGGTGCTTGCTGTTGCAGACTGCTCTTCTATTTTCGTCTCTCCTCTGCGCTGTGCACGAGCTTCAGACGTGTGAACGTAAAGAGAGAATCCTCGCACAGCAGTCGTGTGTACCACAACATTTTCCAGGACCCGCACCTGCTGCTGTACGGCCTCCATGAATGCAATCCCCTCGTGCTCTTGTCCCTACAACCGCAAATGACACAAGATACCGTACCCCCTGGACCGATTTTCAAAGGTCGATTTCTCAGCTGCAAAAGGGGGAAAAAAAAAGGAGTCAGCACCGAAAACGGCGCCGTAGAGCCCTCTCGCCGGGAGCTTTCCGAAAATGGATCGTTTCGTTCATGCATCCTCTTGGCCGTGGAGTAATCGAGCTTTGACAATCGGTCCAGGAGGTGTGGTATCTTCTGTCATTTACGGTAGTGTTGCCGGGGTGCGAGTACCAGACTTGTCGATTTCTCCGCTCCGTCGTAGCAGCAGTGGTGCTGTGTTGTATTTTTTTGCGTTGACATGCCACTGGACTGCTCCTCGCGCAGCACGCAGCAGTCGTACCAAACATTATTGCAAGGGCTGCGAGCTGTACTACATACTGCCGTACGGAAGGCCGTCTGGCTTGCAATCGGCTCGTGCTGTTGTTCTCTGCCGTGCTGCCGGGAACGCGAGTGCCAGACTTGTATTTTCTCCGCTCCGTCGTAGCAGCAGTGCTGTCGTCTTTTTTGTAGCGGTGATATGCCATGGCACACGTGCTGCTGTTCCCGATTTTCGAGTTCAGAACGGCACACAGCAACAAGTAGACACCTTATTTTTATACCGACACATGTGTTTCTTGTTTTGCTGAGGCGACAGGTGTGCGCGGCCCTGAAGGTTTTAGCATCGGGAAATTCCTTCCAGGACGTCGCCACCTTCTCTGGGATGAGCGTCGCGACCGCCGAGAAAACATTCCACCACTTCTGTGAGAAGTTTCCCGGTTGGAGACGAGCTGAAGGAGGTGGAGCGGGTCTTTCGTAAGAGCGGCTATCCGGAGGCGATAGGTTCGACGGACTGCACTCACTTTAGGTGGCCTGGCGGACCCTTTTCGGAGGCTCGCATGAAAACCGGCAAGGAGGGTTACCCGACTGTGGTCATGGAGGCGACATGCGACCACAACGGTGAGTATTGTTCGGGCAGCACCTCCTCTTGGCTTTGTGTGTGTGTAGACATGTAGACGAATTTCCTACCGCTGAGGGCTCACAAGATTGCAGCATTTCCGATACTGGCGCTCTATTGAGCCTAAGAGCCCTTTTTTCGCGGTTTCTCCCAAGCAACCAAGTCTCCGCATGACACGAGCCAAAGTACTTTACTGCTGTAGTGCCTCCCTTTCGATCCCGACGAAAACCGGGGGGGGGGGGGGGGGGGGATCGTGTGTGCAAAACTACACCGCCCGAGGAGAGCAAAGAAAAAAACATCAAGTGCGCTGCTGCTGTTGTTCGCATTCTTCATGGAAGGTACCTTGTTTTCGTTTTTTGTTTGCTGAGAAACTCGTGGCTACCTACCGCACCTCTCGAGCAGTTCATTAGGAAAAATAAACAAATCATAAACAGACTACCTGTTCGAGATATACCCATGGTCGAAGCAGTTTTTTGTATTAGAGCGGACACAGGGACACTCCGCATCCCACGAACACACCAAGACACGAACTTCTACCGTCATCTGACTCGTCACGCCGTCTTGCAGAGCATGTCGCTGAAGGGTGGGTACCACGTGGGAGGAGGAAAGAGAGAGAGAGAGATGAAGCCGTTTGGTTGTTGTTGTTTGTGGAGACCACCTTCATGAAGGTTGAAACTCCCCAATGTCTGTCGAGGACGAAACCCTCTTTTCCACATGTTGCTTGTTTGTTAAAATCAAATTTCTCGCTCAAGAGTAATTCGATACTCTTGTCCTCCGGCGCCGCCGCATCTCTCTTTCATTAATTCATTAATTCGTTCATTGTGCGTTGTTCCTCTCATTCCAAACCTCTACCCGCACACGCTTGCCATCGCCATACAACCTACGAGCGTAGCGGCGGCCGCGAAGTGCCCTTGTAGTCTTTCAGGATTCCCTGATGGCTCCAGCGCTTTTGTGACGACTGGTCATGATATTTTGCTAGTTTTTGGTATTTAGCGATTTCGATTTCACGGCTAATGGGAGAATCAACAACAACCAACCGCAGGCCGCATGATCGCAGCGACCAAGTCATATCCCGGATCGGAGAACGACAAGACCATCATCCAACGCGACAAGTCCATCTGGCGAATCCGAGACGAGGAGCCGTGGAGCAGTCTCAAGTACAACACGGACGGCTCGGAGACGGAGTACAAGGGTGCCTGACTAGTCGTGGACGGGGGCTATCAGAAGGTGAAAACCGTACTCACCGTACTCGTGAAGATCAATGACGGCATATATTTATCGGTCAGCCGTGGATGTGTCCCCGTTTTTTTTGTTCCCCTTAGGGCCGTTGTTGTCGTTCGGGAAAACACAGATCAAATGAAACGAAAAGGGTTCTAGAATTTCTCCTTGTTCTCGTCGTGATATCGTTGAGTGAGCTTTTGACGAACCGCGCAGTTTGCTGACACACAGCAGGTCGACCTGGTCTGCGCAGCACGAAAAATAGCACCCGGCACAAGCGACAGCGCACTTACTACGACCCACCCGGCCTGCCAATCCGAACAGTAGCGTGGAGGAGATCCTACTGCTCTGCTCCTGCACGGTGTCGCCAAGTTGTGCCATGTTGTTCTTTGGACCAAGAGCAGGCCTCTCGATTCATTTTTTTCGAACGGCTGTTTGGGGATGTGGCACACGTCTGCCACACACCTTTCTTGTAGCAGCAGTACCAATGGAGCAGCACAGCTCCGGGAGTGAACATGGCAGGTCTTGCTGGCGTTTTGAGTGGTGATTCAGCGCCCGCGGTGGGTCTGTCACGTTCCGGCGTGAAATACAACGATCGGTGAAAGGAGCACGCAGTTTGTGTCCGGCCCTTGCCCCTTCCGCCGATCCGTTTCCACGTCGATAAAAATGCCTCCGAACATCTGCACGCAAGAACCAAAGTTTTTTTTTTTGTCGTGTAACTGCCGTTACGACGACGACCTTTGTTGTTGTGTATTCAAGTACCCGACCCCCGCATTCCTTGTGTTGTCAGTGCGAGTGAATCGTTGGTGCTGGAGGAAACATTCGGACGGTGGTTTGGTTTTCTGGGTCTTGGAAAGACAGTATCTGGTTTGCGCTGCGGCAGGAACTATACCCCGTGGACCACGACTCTCTCCCTTTTTTTTTTTTGCCCATACCAGATCCCGCTGCTTATACCACCCATCAAGCGTCATGCCACGGTCGAGGAGCATGATTGGAGCAGAAGGTTGGAGGGCATGCGCAAGGACATCGAGTGCTGCTATGGAAGAGTGAAGGGACGCTTCCGCCTGTTCAAGGCAGGCATTCTCTATAAGACCCGCGACAGCATCGACAACCCATGGTTCACGGCGTGCATCCTCCACAACATGCTTCACCACTGCGACAAACTGGACGTCATGACGGAGGCGACCGGCTGGCGGGGATCGGCCGGGCCGTTGGGGGGGGGCGAGCCAGATGTAGGCACGGGGGACCACAACGACAGCGAGAAACCATCCCCAGGGTTCGAAGAGTTTCGCGCGAAGCTCGTCACCCACTTCTCTGTAGCATGGACCAGGCAGGAGGTTGTGTGGTTTCAGAGGGCAGCGGTATGAGAGGCGTAGACAGCCTCCAGATTACGTTGTGTCTGTTTTCTGTTCTCTTACCCCTGCCGTCAGCATAGGTCAGTAGGACGACTGCTTCCTGTGCGAGTTTGTCGTCGCCTCGATTGTCTAACTATTGCTCGTGTATTTTTAAGTTGGACATATTATCGGTAGGGAGGAGTAGATTTGTTTGCCTGACCAGCGAGAACCCGACAC